CCTAGTAAATCCATAATTGACTGTAACTTGGACAAGAAATAGACCTTTTTGGTGTTCAGCTCCCGAGAGTTGGGGTAGCTTGTTAAAGCAGTTACCCTTGTGCATACAGGGAGATGTGACTCCCACTTTGGGTCTTGGTGTGATCCGAGTTACGGACAGATGAAACTTTGGTCATCCACTAGTTCCACACTACATTTAAAAGCCCCCAAGCTGTGAGACATGTTTTTTATACAAAATATTTTGTTTGAACATTGTTAAAAAAAGCCAAAGTCAAAAGGTAACTAGGGACTGACACAGTGGCAGACACCTGTAATCCCAGCTACTTGGAAGACAGGCAAGAGGATCGCCAAGTTCAAGACCAGTCTTAGCAACTTGAGAGACACCCTCAGCAACTTAGCCAGTTTCTCAAAATAAAGACTGGGGATGTAACTCAGTGGTAAAGTGCTTCTGGGCTCAATCTGAGTGATCTCCCATCCCCCAAAAGTTTTTTATATACTGACAAGGAAATTCTCAATGTATTAAGTGTAACAGTCAGTTTTAAGACAGCATATATCAGAAGTTTCCAGGGTATAATCTCAGAACCCCAAGGGTGACCAAGTGTCACTAGACAATTAAGTTTTAAAATTTCTCCCTTTAAGATGGTCTGCTAGGCCCACCCTTGCAAATTACACACTGTGTAAGGCCATATTTTCAATAACTCCAACCAAAAAAGACAAATTGCAATGGATAGACTGTAGATATGAGAATCTCCTAGCTATCTCCTATTAAGCTAGACACTAAAGAAAAAAAAAGTTTAAACAAAGCCATGTCTCACTTGTTTTGAAAAGTATCTTTGTATAAATTATATTTTAAAATTGTTATGGGCTGGTGAAGGCGATCCCCCACTCACTGTCTTAACAGGGTCACAGTGAGAAAAAGTGTTGGCAAAGCCACTCTCCCACTGTCTTGACAGGGTCACAGTGAGGATGAATGCTGGCAAAGCCACGCTGGTTGGTGGGTAACCGAAACCATGAGACCCTTTTTTATGTAATTGGGACTTTGCATTTTATGCTTATGTTTCTGACAGGAGGCATGAGTATGTTAAATGCCAAACAAATTAAATTTCAGATGGCTAGAACAGAACAGGTAGTTCATGCCTTGGAAGCTGTTCTGCTACCCACCCCTCAGCATATCAAGGACAAAATAAAAGGCTATTCTTCTATCTTAGTACATTGTGGACAAACCTAATAACAGACAACAATCATTCTCTGAAAAACAAACTCTATGAGAACTAGTGCACCTTGACTGAGAAACAAATTCTTTGAGAACTAGTGTACCTTGACTGAGAAACAAAAGAAACTCTCTGAGAAAGCAGCTCAACCAGTTTTATGAGAATAAATTTAGGAATTAATTAAAATAGTTTTATAAGACACAGTTTTAAAATAATGTTAAAAATATTATTTTATTTAGATTCCTAAGTTTAGAAATTATTAAGTCTTTAGTTATATAGGTTTCTGATATGCTTTAAGGATGATTCATAAACTTTAGGACATTTTAAATATAAGATTTAAAGGGACTTTTTTAGATGGGAATTTTAGATTAAAAATAAAGTGCAGGTGTACTTTAGGTTAATGATTAATTAAGAAACTTAGAGTCTGGATACGTAGTTTGGCATTAGTTAATAAGGAAATAACATCTTGGGAAAAATAGTAAATCTTGGGAAAATCTGAAGGATGTAAATTGGTGACATGTTTTATTGATGATTCTGTACTTTGATGATTGTATGGCTGGGGGTCATATCCTGGAAGAATGTAGATCGGTGTGCTCTCAATCATGGTTAAGGAAATGTCATGTCTTGGCAAAGTTTTAAGTTATATAATCAATGACGTATTGTGAATCTATAATGATGAGAAAAATTGTAATAAAAAGGGGACCCAGAGAAAGCAGCTTTAGCTCTCTCTCTGAAGATTGCTCAAAGGGAACGACTCCTGTCTCATCATTTCGCCGACGCCACTCCTCCTTCGGGACTCCCTGGACCCCGCCGGGGCTGGCCCCCGGCAATGGGCGAGGCTATATGGGCAATGACCAAACAGACTCCATTTTACCCAGACTCCATATCATGGAAGAAATGCTTCTCCCATGGGAAAGCCCTGCCTCTGTACCCATTAATAGTTACCTAGCATAACATACTTGGCAACACAAAATAGCAATTCTTATACAATGTAAAATTGTTCCCTTTGGTTTCCATTTTTCTTGGGCAATGTATTTTGTCAGAGATTGATTGTATAGACATTAGTAACCATTCTCTAACTTGTACTGAACTAGGGTCATTTTGACCCCCTTCCCTTCTGCTTGCTTGCTGCTATGCCAACCTGGAAAGACCCACGGGAAATACCAATGTACCCATTGCATTGTCTCACTGACTGCCCATCTCAGCTTCTGCACCTGCTTGCTTGCAGCTAAATCAACCCAGATGTGGTTTGTTACCTTTAAATATCCTAAAATGCTCAGGCTTGGGCTGTTCCTTGCAGTGACAGTTATAGGTCCCATGGGGAGCTGTCGCCGGCTGTCTGGCTAAATAAAGGCTCTTCAATTTGGACAAAACTGAGACTTGGTGTGTTTTCTGAGTGACCTGCCCCACAACAAAATGTCACTAGACAATTAAGTTTTAAAATTTCTCAATTTTATTTTCTAATATGAAAAATATTGATATGTATAACTTACATTCTTTTAAGGGTATTGAAAGGTTTATTACTCATATACAAAGACTTTGCAGCGAGACAGAATAGGCTCGCAAGTGGATCCAGAAATGGTTGAACTGGCTTGGCTTTTATTGTTCTTGGGGTCTGAGGCTGGGGTGAAGGTTCCTGCAAGCAGGCTAGGGTTTGGGTGATTTGAACTTTACACTGGGCTCAGAGGAGGAGGCCCCCCAGGCTGCCATGGGCTTGCGCAGATGTAGAGCACAGGGGAAAGGGAAATGGTCAAGCTTGAAAGCAGTTAACATCAAAAATGAAGTTGCAGTCTTTATTTTTTTTAAATATTTTTTTAGTTGCAGTTGGACACAATACCTTTATTTATTTATTTTTATGTGGTGCTAAGGATTGAACCCAGGGCCTCGAACATGCTAGGCGAGCACTCTACCTCTGAGCTACAACCCCAGCCCCAGCCCCCAGAGTTGAAGTCTTTATGATAGTTTGGTGAACTATAATCCTGGCTTGTAAGAGCCTGTTTGTTTAATCACTAAAATAATGTAGGTCTATAAATCTGCACCAGCAGAAAGACGGCTGCCAAAGCTGTAATGCCTCTCAAAAGTTTCAGATGTGATCATAGGAGTTGATTAGCAAAACAGGTATAAATCACTTTTAAAAAGCTATCCGGGTGTGGTAGCACATGCCTTTAATCCCAGTGACTTGAGAGGCTGAGGCAGGAGGATCGTAAATTTCAGGCCAGCCTCAGCAACTTAATGAGTTCCTAAGCAACTTAATAAGACCCTGTCTCAAAATAAACAAACAAACAAAAAAATAGAATGGGCTAAGAGCTAAGGATGTGGCTCAATRGTTAAGTGCCCCTGGGTTCAATTCCTGGTAATCAGCCCCCTCCCCACCAAAAAAAAAAAAAAAAATCCTCTTTGGGGTCCTCAAAACTTTAACAGGTATAAAGGGTCCTGAGACCAAGGTTTGTGTATGATTTGTTGTTCACAGCATATGACCTCTGTATGGAAAAAGAAGAGAAATGAAGATCTATCTTTGCACTAGAGTTTGTACACACATAAAGAAACTTGTAAAGAATAAAAGAGACCGGTTATTAGTGGAACTGGGCAGATGGAAGACCTTTTACCAAAAATGCACCTTTTCTAAAAAATATTTTTGAGTTTTATAAAACTTATTCAATATAATACATTCAAATTTTAAAATCTTTCAACCAATCCTAAGAGCCAGAGGCAGCAGGAGGGTCAGCTCAACAAAAGATGGGCAAAGTCAGGCTGGGAAGSTTGTGTATGGACTCCCTCCTCTGCCCCACACCCAGAAATAATGGTTTCCAGGCAAATTATAAGAGGAATCTTCTCCAAAACAAAAATTAAGAAAACCAGAGGTTCTGGCATGGAAATCACCACCAAATCTCAGAACACAACAAGTGAGACAAGCAAAAAAGCTACTCAGAGGAAATGGAGGTAAATCGGGAACTAAAGGAAATTTAAAATAATTTTTAAAAACAGGAACAACAAAAGCTATGATGTACCCCATAACACTGGAGAAGTTATTGAGAACATATTGCCAAGGTTGAATTAATTGAAGAGAACAGTTTTCCAATAGCTCTACTAAAAGTGTAATCATACAAGTCACCCATATGTTCTTGTGCAAATCATATTCTCATACACGCACAGCACAGAGAAAAAGGACATTTTAACATCAAATATAAATATAGGCTGCACTTACTACTTGTGTGTTCCTAGGTAAATTATTTAACTTCTGAGCCTCAGTCTCACTGAGTAACTTGRAGTTATAATATAACAAACTCCCTTATGAGTTATTCTAAGAACTCAGTGAGTTATTTTTTTCTGATGTGACAGAATATTCCCTAGTAATTAGTAGATCCTGTAAATGTCATTCCTATTGTCCACGACAACAGAAAAAGCTGATGGTGTGTCTCTACAAAAGAAATCACAATGAAACATGCTTTAATGTTAATGATCATTTAATATTTTAACACTTTCACTTATAAACATACAATTTGCATATACAGGGGAAAATAGGCTCTATAGACAAAACAGAACACTAGAGACATGGAAGCAATCACAAAAAAGATTAAATCAGGGAGAAAAATGAAAGTGCATTCTGTGCCTTCTGGTTACATACAAAGGAAARGAAAAGAAAGATTACATTATACACGATCAAAAACTAATGTAGAAAATAAATTTGGATCATTTTGTCTCAACTGCAGGTTCTTCTTAAAATCCAGATGGCTACCCTGGGTCATTAACAGCCTACATAGTCAAAGTCTGGCCTTTTTCATGAATGATGACCTGAGACACTAACCACAGGTGTTCCTTTCTCTTTCCTATCTAAGGCCCAAAGTTAACTCAAGGAATTAAAAGAACACAACTAACAGAACAATCAGATCAGCAATGTACAATATCAACAGCCAACTTCTTCCAAGTATAGATCATTATTTAAAAGTACATATGAAGTAAGAGAGGCTAAGGCAGAAGGATTATAAGTTCAAGGTCAATCTGGGCAACACAGTGAGACCCCATCTAAAAAAATCAAATATAAACAAATAAAAGTACTCATCCATTTCTTAGTGTTAGCACTATACATATGCTGTATACATAAAGGATATGGTTGGGAAACTGAAGCTCTCTAAAGTGTRGCATCTACAAGAGCTGGAGCCAAGAAAATAAAAGATCTGAACCCACCTTTACACCCAGTACGCATTTCATATCAGAATCAAGTCACTAGTGACAGGAAATTACTAGGTTCAATTATGGCTGACTAAGGAAACTGGCCTCCCTGGAGGCAGGGATTGGGGAGGAGAGTCACATGCCAAACTTTGGTCCACACCTAACCCTCTTTAGCCAAGGCAGCCAAGGATCACACAACATGTTTTGCTTCAAGAGCATTTCAGTGGCAGAAATTCTCTAGTCTCAGAAATTCCTGTTATCCAATTACACCAAGTTCAAAATTAACACCCTAATGCAATATTAAAAACTGATTTTAATACTGTATAAGTACAGCATACRGCTTTAATAATGATTACAATCCAAACAGAAGCCATTCTTATGACACAGGATATAGTCAACATTCCATGTTAGAACAACACTTTAAGCCATTAATACCATCTTGTCATACATCACATCTACACATAGAGACAAGTACACTTCCTTTCAGCTTGAAACAGACACTCCCATGTCAACAATTCCTCTAGGAATAGGTAGAAAAACAGACTGTTGGCACTACTAAGTCCACTTGGCATCTGGTTTTACATGGAGATCTATTCAAAGATCTGAATAGATCAAGAGTTGGAACCAGCTGAGTAGTGAAACAAGAGACCCATGGATGTAACCAGCACAATCACAACAGAATTCGTGCTTCCTGGAGTGTATTTTGAAAAAACAGGACCACACGAAGTATGGAGCAGGGACTTCACTGTGCTGACCCACCTTAATGAAAATATACTTAAAGCATGCAGGACAGAAAATTGGAATAATTAGCAGTGTTTAAGACATGGAGTAACAGAAATATAAATATTTTAAATACATATTTCATAATGTGGAAAATATAAGCATTAGACAAAAAGAGAGGACTGTGGATTTTCTGGAGCTTCATATATTTGGGGGCTCAAAATTAAATGTTTTAAGCTTCTGTACCATGAGTAGATCAGGAACAAAATGAAGGTTAAGGTCCTGGCCAGGGTGACTGCTATCTTGAGCAGGTCCCTTGGTCCCTAGGCCCCATTTCTCTACAACTCAAGTTTCCCCCAGCCACAGTCCATCTCAGCACTAGGTGAACAGCCATGGTACCCTACTCCTCCAAAGGACAGGCCTTCAGAGCATGTGATCCTAGAAGGCCTGAAGCAAAAACTCTTAACTATGGCTCTCCTTCCATTTTCCTTATCATTCTTTTAATATTATTTTCTCAACAAATAGAAAAATAGGTTGTAAGTTGGCTTAGCGGGCAATAAATATACCTAAAGCAGACACTTAAAATGTATCTCTGAATAATTTAGCTCCATATAATTGTTACTGTTCTGCCTTCTTCAAGTTTTAAAGATAAAGCCTTAAAATACTGAGGCTCAAATTAATTTATAATGTAGGATGTTTTCAAAGTATTACAATGAAAAACACACAGGAATAACAGGAGTATAAGCAGCTCTAGCATTAGGCAGATTTCTGAAGCATCATTTTTAAAGGGACAGTGTCCCTGTCATCCTGAGCAGTCAGTCTTGCTGGGGGCCCACAGCCCAGAGTGTAGCTTGTGGGGGCTCTCACACCACTGCCTTTGGAAGCCACCTGGCAGCTTACCAGTCTACAACTCCTAAGGTAACATGCAGCCAGTCTGGTCTGAGGTTTCAAAGTTTGAGGTTAAACCAAAAGAAGCTGCAGTTTTCCTTGCCACAACCACTCACTCATTCATCACTATATTATTGTACAACATGAAAATAAATTATCCCTTCAGCACTACACCTGTGTAAAGAAAATGCCTTTCATGACAGGTATATTCAAATAATTATTCCAAGAGTTCCATAAGGAAAGTCCGAGTATGAGCCAGAGCCCCCAGTGTGTTTAACCAACACAGTTCAAACCTTTCTCTGTGGTTCTTATGCAGATTAGTTACAATTATTAGGTCACTACTTCCAAAAGAACTATTAAAACTATTATTAAAAACATTTGCCACAAACAGAAATGCCCTGCAAATCATATTATTGCACACAGGATTATCAGCAGCTATGCACATTAAGATCTTGAAGATTCTAGAAAACCCAAAACAGAGACCCTAAGGCCATGCCTGTGGCAGCTCCAGCCAACATGCCCAGTGCCAGGTCACTGTCATTGTCATGATACCGTTCACGAATGATGACTTGGTTGGCAGGCTGTTGTCCATAAAGTCCTAAAAGAGAAGGAAAAAACAGATCTTTGAGGAGTGGCTTGAGATGGCATACCTGAATGTGAGCACTCTCCCCTCTCCAATCGATCAGCTGATTTCCCTGTCAGCTGGCTTCCCACCTTCATCTGGAGAGGTGGGGGCAGATGAGTACAATTCACCCCAGCCTTCCTCTATCTCAGGCCCAGCATATGGCCTGCCAAGGAGGACACCTCCACCCTTCAGATACCACTGAGAGAAAAGTCAACCAGGGCCAAGTTCTAATCCTGCAAAGAGCAGAGCTGTGATAAAGCTGCAGATTCCTACTTTTAATTTCCATGTTATTAGGATGAAAGACAAATGGGGCAGGTATGGAGATACACACCCTGCAGACAATGGGAGAGCCAAGAACTCCTGTGAAGGGCCCAAAGGGAAAAAGCCCTTTTAACAGTGAAGCGTCTTAGTATTCATGAAAACAGTTTTTAATTAAAACTTAAATCTGCTAATATAACTTGCTCTTCATTTTTAATCATATCTGTATGTGATTAAATTATAAGAGGAAAATTAAATATTAAAGGTAAAAATTTCTTWAAAAAGCAAACCTTTAACAAATTTACTATTTAATTTGTATGATTAAAATTTACAAGTGCAACCCTCTATGCTTCACAGCTGTATCATTGCCTCGTAACTAAWTTGCTTTCATATTGCTCACATATTTTGGGAGGGCAGGGGGTGCCAGGGATTGAATTCGGAGGCTCTCGACCACTGAGCCACATCCCCAGCCCTATTTTGAATCTTACTAAGAGATAGAGTCTTACTGAGTTTCTTTAGTGCCTCACTGTTGCTGAGGCTAGCTTTGAACTCGTGATCTCCTGCCTCAGCCTCCTGAGCCGCTAAGATTACAGGTGTGTGCCACCATGTCCAGCTTGCTTACATATTAATAGGGTTAACTTTCCTCCCTGATCCTCTCCTCCTTTAACAGTTCAACCCAGAAGATCTAGAAACCAATACATTAGTAATATCAACATGTAGATGAAAAACAGAAGAAAAAGCAAACARAGGTTGGCATTTCCAAGCTCTGAACCAGCTTAAACATTTACAGCATTACAAGCACCGACACCCTAAGCCCTCACAGTGATCCTGTCGGTACACTATCATCCCCAGTTTACACATGGGCAAACTGAGGTACACAGAGGTTAAGGGCAGTAAGGACATGTGAACCCAGGCAATCTGATCACAGAAAACACCCATAACCACTAAAGCCTAAAAAACATTCTTGAGGATGGTCGGAGAGATAAATCAAAGCCACAGAGAATGAGACCATCTTAAATCTAAGGACTGATCAAGCACAAGTAACAACATTATAAAAGAATGATCTTGCCAGGCATGAGGCACACTACTGTAATTCCTATTTGGGAGGCGGAGGCAGGAGGATCACCAAGTTGAGGGTCAGTCTGGGCATCTTAGACTCAAAATAAAATTCAAATAATTGGGAAGGGGAGCTGGGATGTAGCTCAATGGAAGAGYGCTTGCCTAGCAAAGTGTGAGGTCCTTGGTTAAATCCCTAGCACTACAAACAAACAAACAAAACAAAAACAAAAACAAAAAAAGTGATTTTTTAATGCAAAATTTAAATTCAAAACCGGTTAATAAATTTTAAAACGGTTACACAATTCCAGCTAGCAGAATGTAATACACAGAACTTGTAAGCTGATCTTACAAAAAGATCCCATTGAAAATCTGAACTGTGTTCCCCCCATGGGTCACACTGACAGTTCCCCTCACTGCAGGAACAGGAGGCCATTCTCATACCTCCTGCCTATCTCTGCTCCTACAGTAAGCCACAGCCTTACCAAAGTCAGCTGTTGGAAAGTTACAAACGGTACTTATTTGTAATTACCTAATATAAATAAGTATTTATTAAATGGCCAAAATGCCAATGGAGAAGAGGCAGATATTATTTCAAAATTTTAGAGATAACAATAGTCAGTCTTTACAGGACTACAGTAACATGCCTGAAATTTCCCTCAAAATAATCCAAGTTCTTGGGGGAAGGGGAATTGAGGGTTGAACCCAGGGGGTGCTTTATACATGAGTTACATCCCCAGACCTTTTTATTTTGAGAAAGGGTCTCACTAAGTTATCAAGGGTCTTGCTAAATTGCTGAGGCTGGCCTCTAACTTGTCATCCTCTCACCTCAGATCCCAAGWCTCTGGGATTACAGGCAACTCCTACCACACCCAGCTCATGTTTTTTAATGTTAATGAAAGAAACAAAAGTCTATGYCCCTTGACATATTAACTTAAAATACAGAAATGTATTTTAAGACTTATTGGAATAAAAATAAAAATGTTCAAAGACATTCAAAGCATTGTTTCCACAGCAAAATTTAAAAAGGAAAAGAAAAAGTCAAAACTTTTTTTTAAGGTTTAAGTAATAATCTATTATCAAGTATGTCATACAAGCACTAAAAATATATAAGAGTATTATGCAGCACTCTGGGCAATATATAAAATTTAAAATTCAGACAAATACAAAAGGCAATGTATAATTACAAGGATGACATATTTATATGGGGAAAGTAATTCAAATAAAAATAAGTGTGCCAGGATCACAAGATGATGGACATTTAATGTCATAATTACTATTTTACTAGTTTGTAACTTGACATTAAAAAAAACAGTCAATCAAGGCAAATCTTCCAAAGTCCACACTTGTTGGGTGAATCTGTATCAGTTTTCAAGYAAAGAGGAGTCAAATGAACTTTCTGTATTTCTACTTTAAAAACCCTTTCTCTGCTGGGCACAGCTGCACATGCCTGTAACCCCAGTGGCTTGGGAGGCTGAGGCAGGAGGATTATAAGTTCAAAGCCAGCCTCAGCAACTTAGCAAGGCCCTAAGCAACTCAGCAAGACCCTGTCTCTAAATAAATTTTTTTTTTTTTTAAAGAGTGAGAGAAAGGGAGAGAATTTTGATTTTTTTTTTTTTTTTTTTTAGTATTTGGTGGACACAACATCTTTGTCTGTATGTGGTGCTGAGGATCGAACCCGGGCCGCACGCATACCAGGCGAGCGCGCTACCGCTTGAGCCACATCCCCAGCCCTAAATAAAATTWTTTTTTTTTAAACTTTATTTTCTTTTTTTTATGTGGTGCTGAGGATCGAACCCAGTGCCCCATGTGTGCTAGGCAAGCACTTTACCACTGAGCCACCACCCCAGCCCTAAATAAAATATTTTTAAAAAGGATGTGGTTCAGTGATAAAGTGCCCCAGGTTTAATCCCTAGTACAATAATTATTACTACAAACTAAATAGAACAGAAGTCAAGGACACACATCCAAGAGTGGCCTGGCCTACTTGGCTTCCCTGGACAACAGTATCAAATGTTCACAGCTTTGTGGTGGCAGCTCCCCTTCCACTGCTTCTGTGTTAAGATGATGTACTAGTTTTGCTCATGGCTCATGGTCAGCTCCTCTTCTGTAGACACTCACTATCCCCATCTCTCTGGAGCTCTAGGCTGATTCATCTACCAATCACTGCRTGCTCCTGTGTGTCAATGTGATTTGCACACTACAAACTACCCAGATTAACCTCATGATGGCCTTGCTCATTTATTCCTTGGTTAAGGGCTTTGCCCTCCAATCCCTCAAAGTAGCCCCATGCAGCCTCACAAAGTGCCCAGCATCCCCTCATATCTCCAACTCTACAGATTCCCCTGCCAGGGAGACCCAGAATTTGATGATACCAGCAAAGGCCCATTATTTAATATTTGCAATTTGTTTCATGTAAAACAAAGAATAGAAAGAAGTATATTCAAAGCAGAGTAAGCAGAAGTCCCTTCCAGGCCTCTACTTCACTGTGAAATCTAACATTACTTCAATAGTGTCAAATGTCCAAGGATGCTATCAGCAGGCAAAAAAAAAAAAAAAAAATAGGTCACAGGTCACCTTCCATCTTTTAAAATGGGCCCCCTTGTTACTTTTTCTTTTTTTAGTTGCCAATGGACCTTTATTTTATTTATTTATATGCAGTCTTGAGAATTGAACCCAGTGCCTCACACTTGCCAGGCAAGTGATCTACCACTGAGCTACAAATCCAGTCCTTGATTGCTTTTTGATACAGTGAATCCCAATAAGTACAAATTCTCTTGAGAATTAGTTTGTATACAATTGTGTAGTTCTACAAATCAAGACTTCTCTAGCTTTGTAAAGCAGTGCAAAAATACAAAAGGCTTATTTTTAAAACACACAAAAAGGGCTGGGGTTCTGGCTTAGTGGTCAAGCATTTACCTTGCACGTGTGAGGCACTGGGTTCAATTCTCAGCACAGCATATATATAAATGAATAAAATAAAGGTCCATCAAAAACTATAAGAAAAAAATTAAAACAAACACACATACACACACACACACAAATTATAGTAACAGAGTGATTTGTGGTCTCCAGCAGAAAATGTAGTTCACTTAACCTTAAACTGGGAAATAAAAATTCTCATGCACATACCCACTAAATGAAAGTAAGAAGGCATGGGAGACTAATGAGAGTTACCTGCATATGGGTACTGGTAGGGCACAGCATACGCCTGGCCATTGGCAGCATAGACAACCTGAGTTCCTGCTGGGTATGCACCACCGTACGGACCATAGCCATATACCTGCTAAAAAGAAATAGAGCTATTAAAAATACACTCTTGAAACCCCTGGTAATGTATTAAAATTGAGTCTCCAGGCTATACTCAATAAAATTTAAGTCAGTCAAAAAAGAAAGAAAACATGTGATAGTATTGTTATACCTTGTTTTTGCTTAAGATTACTAAAAAATAAAAATTAAAAATATTTTCAGGCTATAAATGAAAATGGTAGAAAAAATACAACAAAAAAGAGAACTGGGGGCTGGGGATGTGGCTCAAGCGGTAGCGCACTCGCCTGGCGTGCATGCGGCCCAGGTTCGATCCTCAGCACCACATACAAACAAAAATGTTGTGTCCGCCGAAAACTAAAAAATAAATATTAAAAATTCTCCCCCCCCCATCTCTGTCTCTCTCTTCTAAAAAAAAAAAAAGAGAGAGAGAGAGAACTGGACTTGCAAGAGATTTTGATTTTAATTCAGCTGTACCATTAACTTGATCTTTAGTAAGTCACCTAATCTCTCTGAATCTTGTTTTTTGTTCATCTGTAAAATGACCAGGTTGGACCAAGCAGTGAGATTTACTTGAAAATCTGTATTCCGCCGGGCACAGTGGCACATGCCTGTAATCCCAGCGGCTCAGGAGGAGGCTGAGACAGGAGGATCGCGAGTTCAAAGCCAGCCTCAGGAAAAGCGAGGTGCTAAGCAACTCAGTGAAACCCCGCCTCTAAATAAAATTCAAAACAGGGCTGGGGATGTGGCTCAGGGACCAAGTGCTCCTGAGTTCAATACCCAGTACCAAAACAAAACAAAACAAAAAAAACCCTGTATTCCTCAGGTGAGGCCAATCTAGATGCAGAACCTTTCCCAGCCCAATTCCTTCCAGTTTGGAGGATAGAGAAGACTGAAGCCTGGGACCAGAACCAGTGACTGTGGTTTTCCAGACATACCTATGAAAGGGCACTACCAGAAGAAACAAGCACTGGGACCCACTTCTGATGACTGAGCCAATGAACAGTGAATGTGCCAATACAGAGACAAAAGGCCAGCCTTCCTTATGAGCTCACAGGTGAGAGGCAAGCTGACAAGTTTACAGACAATTACTGTCCAATGTGACCAGTGCTCTGATAAAGGGAGAAGAAGGAGCTGTGTATAGATCTAAATCTGTTATCTTACAAAGGCAGGAGAAAGAACTTCCACTTCTGGAGGAAGATGTTCCTGGCYCATTCTTCCTGCTAAGTACACTTAAAATCCCTGCACATTATATGCAAGTAGATTCTGAATGACGGAAAGAAGGTGGCAGACTGGCTAGGACACTCAGGATCTAAAGGAGGATATGAGGCAAGTCCTCTGGGTTTCCTTCTTGCCTCAGATATCCTATCTGGATAATAGAGTAGCCAGCAACCTGGAAGTGTCAATAAACATAGACAAAAAAGACCTGAATAAAACCCTGCTCTCTCTACCCAAAGAACCTAAGAAGGAAAGAGGCAACCTAGCAAGAGAGAACATTTTTTAAATGATTGCATCTCTACTCTAGGCAAACACCATAGAAAAATCTGAAACCCCAACCCTATTCCCACTAGCAAAGGTCAAGTGTAGAAACTCTAAACCCCCACACTTCACAGGTTGTAAAAGCACTCCCTGAGCTCTTGGAGTACTAACAGAGAAGGTAGAGCGGGGAGCTGGACATTTTATCCCTACCAGATGATAAGACATTCCCACCGTGTCAGTGAACACCAAATAGGGAACCAGAACTCCCACCCCTGCCCATACAAACAAGGCAAACCTTCCTGTCCTACTCAGATGAGGTCAGCCTGGTCCTAGTGGGAAGAGAACTCAATCCAGTGGTTATGACATCAGCAGAGGCTATGCAGCAGTGGGGGAGYCCATCCCCTTCCCAGACAAGGTGCTCAGAGAGGACCCCCAACTCTAATTCTCCTGCATTGACACAAATCCCAGTATCCTAGGTATCAACCGAGGACTAGTGGACAGCCTGGACTTCACCCCACATGACAGGAAGATCACAAAAACACAAGATTTAAATAGGATTCAGGGTCTTACAATACTTAAAATGTACAGGTGTTATAAAAAAACACTTGTTTGCCAGGTGTGGTGGTGCATACCTGTAACCCCAGCAGCTGGAGAGGCTGAGGCAGGAGGATTGCAAGTCCAATACCAGCCTCAGCAACTTAGTGAGGCCCTCTGCAACTTAGTGAGAACCTGTCTTAAAAGAAAAAAGGCTAGGGATATGGCTCAGTGATAAAGCGTCCCTGGGTTAAATCTTCAGTACTTAAAAAAGAAAAGAAAACCACTCGTTCATACCAAGGTTCATCAAGATCTCAAGAATGAGAAAAGGGGGAGGAATAGGGGGCATAGGAAGGGCAGCAGAATAGAATAAACATT